GTTGATTTTACACTATTTTCAATGGAGCTTGAATTAGTTCACTGCACCCTTCAGCACCTACGAATCTGCGAGACCTACGAATCCAAATGCAGCCAGAATAATTGGACGGCCGAATCCACACGGTCTTGCTTGTATGTAGCGCCGCTACAGAACGGAGCATGCGCATTAACGAGCAAAAGTTCATAAACGAGCAAAAGGTACGCTGTGAAAGCATCACATGTCCGGCCGTGTACGTGTACGCGTAAAAAAACAGGACAGAACACCTGCACGCTTTCCTCTGTGAAGCACAGTGTAGCACCGGGTTTGTGCATAAGTCTATTGTGCACTTTTTTGCTACACGCCCTGGCCCCTTCCTTTTCATTGTCTGTTAGCACTGTGTAGCACGTTGTCCGTGTAGCACTTTGCCTATTGTTATCCAAATTCTTCCCTTTTCCAGAAGATCTCCAAGACTAATGTGGTGTACTAATGTCATGGTTGCATTCCTTCCTCCATGGTATCGGCCTACAGTTTTAACAGTCATAACGGCACGATTGCAGGATATCCCGCCACTCACATTCCCCACTCGTAGCCGCGAATTTGCGGATACATATCCCCGTATCCGTCCGCGTTGCCACTCCCCGCGCCCGGTTCCCACATTTGAGTTACTCAATTCTTCCGCCTCCCCCATTCACATGCACTTTGCGTATACATGACGCGCAAGGCCCACTTTCCTGTCCCTGTACCTGTATACATGTGTACGTATCCGCGTAGCCGCTCCCAGAGACCAACTTTGGACTTACAAAAATTTTGGTCTTGGGCCCTGGTGAGTAACGATTTCAATACTAGACAGCACGTACCTTTATATGCAGAGTGTACATAGAGTGTATTTTCGCTCAGCGGGGTATTGTGTAACTACTCCGTCGTAACACAGTTCATGATCCAGTCCTAATGCAGCCCTAGGGGATTTATTATTTCTACCTTAAATATGCAGAACAATGAAAGGGCCTAATGATTCCAAACAATACAATTGTTATAAATATTCCAACTAAACAGATACTGACTTTACAAGAGGATTAGTCAAGGAATTCGAAGATAAAAATGGAAATAAATTTAACGTTTATAAAAGTTAATCCTATCTGATTCAGTACTTACCATGATCATAAACGTGCAAAGTGACGGGTTTCCCGATTTCATTATTTGCTGATGTGCACCCATGGCCTGATTGTTGCGCGTAGGGTAGTAAACAGACCCCCCAAAAATCTCATGTTCTTTTTTTTATAAAAAATATTTCTCAGTTCAAAGCTTGAGAATTTGATATACCTAACAGGGAAAATTAAAAACACGGAGATGACTGAGAACTTGTATTTTTCTACTTTTTGGATGAAATTGGACCCTAAAATGGCTCTATTTTGCGTTAGAGTGGAGGCACCTTTTTCAAAATGGCGGTGGACTTCATGACATCTCAGGGGTGATTCAAAAGGTTGCAAACAGCATGCAATACCTGCTACAGTGACGTCATGTCTGTTTAAACCAGGCCCACTGCACATTCACTGTCCCTAGAGTTATATGTATTGATCGCCGGTTACTGGAACTATGGAACCGGAAGTTAACGCACAACTTCAGCGATCGTCCAATGGGACGGTAAATCGTGGCGTGTCTGCCTTTGCGACGAAGTCACTTATGAACAGGATTCTATCGTCTTTTCACAAAATCAAGGAAAATGTGAAATACCATAATGAGGCATTACCAGTATTCAAGGTGTTTTGAATTATGTTTGGGCGAGGCTATAACATTAGGCATTCAGTTCCAAACACCCCCATTGTCCTCCCTGCTTGAGTTCATCTGGGAAACCCCCTTTTGATGTCTAAACATATCAGCTTTTACGTACCTAGTACGGCCGGGTCCGAATCACTCTGCTGCAGCTCGAAATTACACACGACTCCATTGGAGCCGCACCATGGGCTCGTGTGTAATAGTAGTGCGTAATGCGGACACCGTACATTGCTATTTAGTACCACTTCAGAGGAAGTTTTCTGTGGCTGGCCACAGGGGTGCACCCAGAGACATAAAAACGCAATTGCATAGACCGCCAGATCCTATTAAAAACTACAGAAGTTTTCCGTGATGCGCACCGCGCCGACTAAAATCAAAACTAATATAAGGGAGAATTCACCCCTCGGTATAGGGAATTTACACAAAGTTGAAGAATTCCGGCCCAAATATTCAATGAAGCCGCTGGATTGAAGAAAAACATGCCGTGTTTGTATTTTCGAAATGATGGTTTCCAATATTTCAAAAGAAAAGATAGCAGTACCGAAGAGCGAAAACGGTGATGTGGGGAACATTATGTAAAATGCGGGTAATGTTAATTGCGTTGCGCGTAATGCGGGCATTAAATGCGCAATCAGCCACCGTTTCGCCCGTTGTTTGCTTATTCGCTCTTTGTACGCTGCTGCAATAGGCAAGCAGAGCTTCGATCTGGCAGAACGCGGTTCAGTGATTCGACAAGAATTTAAATCAGTGCTCTGAAATAAATGATTGCCGAGCTTTCGGTAACTGAGTAACTTCTTCAGGGCAAGCAGATTCAGTTCTGAATGAACGCAGAAAAATCCACTTTCATTCCCCCTGGATGCAGCGGTCCAAGTTCGGAAATGACGCGCTGCTCCAGTTCCTTTCGCTGTACACCAGATGACGCCTTCCGCGGGTTGCAGACGCCCGTGACGTCACCGACGGTCTGTGGCGGCGTGCAGAAGTGCTGCGCAACAGTGAGACCAGGTGTTTGTTGGCGCACACTGCGCATATGTTCCACGCAGCGGTCACCAAGGCGACGCTTGGTCTCTCCGATGAACACTTTACCACAGCGACGACATGTAATGCAATAAACCATATTACTAGTAATGCATGTATGATCCCCGCGTATTCTGTAGCTACCGTGGGGGCCGACGACCGACATGCTGTTAACTATGTAGGGGCAGGTGTTACATCTGGGGCGCTGACAAGGGGAATTGCTGCCTGCTTTTGACGGCGAAACGGAATCCAACCGGGAACGTACAACCATGTCCCCGACGGAACGATCGCGCCTAAATGCGCAAATCGGCGGTTCGGCGAAAATGGAAGCTGTGGCCGCTTCATTACCGAGTGTACGAAAATGTTTGAGAAGAACATTATGTACCAAGATGTTTCGAGGGTGGTATGTGAGTTCGGGGGGACGCGATTACGTTGCTTGGGTTTCTGAGCCGTTTCGCGCGGGATTTAAGATACAGCGTTGAAGGCAGCGTCTGTGATAGCCGGAGGGTAACCGCGCTGATGAAAGAAACCTAGCAATTCCTTCCCACTTGCAGAGAACTCTGCATGGCTACTACAAATCCTACGCAGTCGAAGACACTGGACGCGCACGTCGAGGAAGGTAACAGAGTGTTGTGACACATCAGATGTGTAGCGCAGTGCTGTGTGAAAAGCATCCGCAAATGCTGAGAAATTATCAACGTCATCACGCGAACCGGCAGTAGCACCAACTATGCCATCGATGTATCGCCGGTACATTAACGGCTGCACGCCCTGATACTGGGTCAGCATCTGCTCCTCGATGTGGCCAACAAACAGACAGGCATGACTTGGTCCCATCAGTGTCCCCATAGCCACACCACTGGTCTGAATGTAGTGCTCACCGTTAAACGCGAAGTTGTTCAACGTGAGCACCAACTCAGCCAGACGGAGCAGGGTGCTGGTAGGAGGATCCTGAGGCTGGCGGAGATCTAGGTAGTGTTTGAGCGCAGCCAATTCACCTGCGTGGGGAATGAATGTGTAAAGAGGTCTCACATCCATGTTGAAAAGAAAGTTGGATGTACCTGGGAATTCAAATTCATCTAACAGACGTAGGCGTGATTAGTATCCTTGACATAGCTGGGGAGCGTTTTGACAACGGGTGTTAGAATGGTGTCAAGGAAGTTGGACATCAATTCAGTAGGACCACTACAAGCAGCCACGATGGGGCGGCCTGGATTTCCGGATTTGTGAATTTTGGGTTGGAAGTAGAAGGCTGCCGTGCGTGGGTTGGGAACGACCAGTTTGGTTGCGTTAGAGGGAGGTCACCTGAGTCAATTAAACCTCGGACAGTGCTAGCAACAATATCTTGATGCTCTCGTGTGAGATCGCGGTCAACCTTAGCGTAGGACGCAACGTCAGACAGTTGAGGTTCCGCTTCAGCGACATACAAGTCCTTACCACCGTAGCACCTCCCTTGTCCGCCCTCTTTAATGACGATGGATTCATCGTTCTTAATGAGATCTGAGTGCTTCGCGTTCAGCCGATGAGATGTTGATGCGCTTGAGGCTGGGTTTGAATTTAAGGCGTGTGATTTCCACGCGGCAGTTTTCAATGACGCAGTCGAGGGTTTTGTTAAGACCGGATGCTGGACACCACGTGGACTTGGTGGGCGCAAGCTTAGAAATTACCTTAGACAAGTCTACATTCTGAGTAGACGTACCCGAATCAGAACGTACTAACCTGCAGGAATCCTTGTAGTGGAAGAAGACTCGCAAACGCATACGGCGGAAGAACTTCTCGACGTCCTGACGGTTGGTGAACTTGTCCCATCGGTTCGTCACAGGGATGAAATTCAGTCCACGATCCAGGACAGAACGTTGGCCATCAATTAGGGGAAGATCTGGTGGGATGACGTAACTACCAAACTCTTTGGGTTAGCGTTGTTCTTTGACGTGGGCGTACAATGAGATTTGTCTGATTTGAGCTTGGAGTACTTAGATTTGATTTTCTTGGTTTTGGTTGCTTCGAGAGCCGCATGAAGTTCGTGATTTAGATCTTGAATTATGCCCCTGATGATGTAAGCCGTACGGCCATCGGTGACATCATAAAGATGTCGTCGGCACCGATCGATCAAGGGTGTTGCTCGAGTTATCGATGCGCTCATGCATAGTATGCACAGTACACCTCATGATCTTACGGGAGGTGGAGTGTAAAATGCGGTGAATAGTGTCACGATAAGT